TTTTTAATTTTAATTTTTTTTAATATCGCAATCATTGCCCCTAATCCCCCACATCTGTTCTCCAGGACTGATTAGTCATTACAATTAATCGAGTTTGACTTTTTCCTAGTATAAGCCATCTTTTAGCTTTGATTTGGCACTTATTTTATTCACACCTGCAAAATCACAGGTCTCCCCCAACCAGCACAAGTCTGCTCTGTAACTTAGTCTTGGAGAGCTGCCTGCAGCATTGAGACGTCAAGGGTGCTACCCAGAGTGAGACAGCCAGTTAAGTGTCAGAAGCAGAGCTTGAACCCCGGCCTTCTGGCCTCTGAGGCCAACTGTCTATCCACTGTGCAAGGCTGCCTTTCTAATTCATATTTCCATAACATTCTTCTAGTGATGCTAGATGCACAGTTAAATGCTTAATACACAGTTAAGTGCTTAATAAAATATCTATTGAATTGAACCAAACCATTCCATGACTCCAGTTTCCTACTGGATAAAAATCAACTCCTTTGTCTTTTAAGACCTTCCATAATCTAGTACCAGCCTTATCTCAGACTCCTTCCTTCCACATGTTCTGCCCTCCCCTCACACTAGCCTCTTTAATGACTTTATATATGTCCTGTACTTTCCTTCCTCCAAATCCCTCCTGCTCCCCAAAGCTATAAATGTCCTCTGCCTACCTACCAAAACCCTAACAGACTAAATTCCTAGGCATCCTTTAAAGCCCTGTTCATATTCTACCTCTTAAGTCTTTTCTGATCCCCCTACTTGTTATTAAACATATTGCCCTTGAATCTTACTTAGTTCTTGACTGGTATTCTTATGTACCCACTTAAAAGTTTGGCCAAGATATTCATAGAGGCTTTTTCTTTTTTTACACTATAGGATTTCCCGATAGTCTCCCTCTCCCCTAAGAGATCCTTCCCTGGTTACAAATAAAAATGTCTTATCCACTTAAGCATTATTTTATACTAGAGTTATTCATGTGTGTCTTGCCCTCCCCCATCCTCCCATGTATGCTTTTGCAACATTGTCTCATCTAAACTTTGTATCTCTTCCCATACCTAGCACATGGCAAAGTGTTTTTACAAAGTCTGATTGAATGGGTTCCAGTCTTAACTACTCTTAACTCACTGGAGTAAAGCCCTTCTCTTCTCTGTGGCTCTGGGGTCAGACTAGATTACTAGATTATCATTACAGCATTTTAACACAAATGATGTTAACTTACTCATATAACTGCTTTCTTCATAACTATTGGATGAGGAAGACCATAGGATTTAGACCTGGAAGGTATCTTAAGAGACCATCCAGTCTCACTCCTTTGTCTTACAGAGTATCTTAACAATTAGAGTTGTCTAAAGGTAGGATGAATGCCTCATCACTTGTGGACTTCAAGGGGATTGGTTCAACTCTAGCAGGCAAGTCTTGGTCTCTCCAATTTACAAATGAAGCGAAAACAAAATGAAAGAACTGTGACTTGTACAGTAGACAGCTTTATGGGCCCTATGAACTACTTGTGGTCAGACCTCTAGGTCCTCCCAACTCAGACTATGGTTTGATGAAACAGAAGGCCAGAGCAGAGCCAGTATTAGGACCTCAGTCTTCAGATTCTAAATTCAGTACTCTTTCCACTCTTAACAGGTAGTGTATGTTTTATAATCCACATTTTACAGATCAGGAAACTGAGACCCAGAGAGGTTATATAACTTGTATGACTTTAGGCCAGTCACAACCTTCCTGGGCCATGAGGCAGGTGGACTAAATGACCTTAAATTTTTCTTTCACATTTCCCTCTCTAGTAGAGCTTGCAATTCATCTCTCTCTCAATAGCACCTTCTATGTACGTCACCTCATCCTATGCTATACTAGTCCATATCCTTCCATAAATTCTCACTCTCTGTGGCCAGCTCCACCTCCACATCGCTAAAGGATGACTCTACCCTGAGGCCTATATGCTGACTGGTCCTGTCTCAAGGAGCCCAGCCACCCTGCTCCCTCTCGGGTCTGTTCCCCTTCCACACCAGATACTTTGCTGCCCCTGAGTAGGTACCCTTTTCCTCTTCCCAGCTCACCCTCCTGTTTTGTCTTCCCATAAGTTCCCAGAGAGTCAGGACAGACTTGGGTTGTTTGTTTTTATCCCCTACACTTAACCTACCCACTGCTAGGCTATACAGCCCATTACCAATAGCTTGTGAGCAAAGGGTAGAAAAAAGATACCATTAAGGGTAAAGAATGAGAAGACAAAGTGTTTTTATTGATATCCCATCTTCCATATCTGTGCATTTATTTGCACAGGCAAAAATATGATTTCCCACATCTGAGTTGCATTGTCTCTGCCATCTTTATCCTGTCTCAATTCAGATGTTGTCTCTTCCATGTTCTTCCCTACCACCCTCCTCCAATTCAGTGTTCTTTCCCTCCAGAAATTACCCTGGATTTACTTACTTGTATACCTTGTCTTTCCCTAAAGAATGTAAATGCCTTGGAGAATGCTTTTTTTTCCTCTTTGTAACCCTAACTTATAGCCTAGGGCTTTGCACACAGTAGGTACTTTAAAATGTGTGTTGAATGGCATCAAATGTAGTGAAAGTAAGGGAAGACTGATGGACAGCCCAATTGTTACACTGGTATCCTCAACTGGTAGGGCTGAAAGGAAGCTTTAAAGTCCTAATACAACTGGGGTCACCTAGCTACTAGGTCAAAGATCAAGATTTGAACCCCTGTTTTCTGACACTGATCCCCAAGATCTAGCACATTTTATAACACTAAGTCTAGCATTATTTTTCTTATACTACATTGCTTCTTAATTGAAAAACCCCAAAGGCTTCTAGAACATTGGGGAGACCTTCTAGGCAGTTCCTAGACTGTGCCAGGAAGTTCCTTGTGGGAACTCTGCTATGTAACAGAAGAGACAGCATTGAGGAGGGAATGGCCCCGTAAGCCAGGATGCACCAGGAATATGGGGGAGCATTCAAGAACATGGCTAACTTATAAGTCACACAGGGATGTGAAGCTAGAGAACTTTATGAAATTTGTCTATCTGGGTTTTACAAATCCCAAACCAAGTGTGTTCCAACAACCAGATCTAACATGTTCAAAGAAGCATTGTCTTGCCAAAGTAGCCTACTTGATATACTACCCTGACCCATTTCTAGCTTCCTCTGGAGACTTACGTACAGGATGTAAATTGAAGCTTCAAATGTTCTACTTTCTCATGACCTCTTGGAATCACTTCCTGCTTCAGCTTAATTTAAGCTACCTTTCCTTACTCCCCTAACTATTCATGGTCCACTACCAAAATATTTTATATGTACACATTATATTTTGTGTACATATTTTTCTCCTCCCCTTATATTGAAGCCTCAAATGTTCTACCACCTCACAACTTTTGGAATGTGTGGTTCTGCTTAAACTACCTTTCCTTATTCCTCTAGCTGTTCGAGGCCCACCCCCTAAATACTTTATATATGCACATTATTTTGTTAACCTGTTTTTTTTTTCCTCCTTCCCCTCCAGTTTGGGGCTGAATCATCCTTGTCTTTGAATTCCCAGGTCCTAGAACAGTGTCAGCACTTATTAACTGCTTAATGAATCTTTAATATGGGGAATTATTGCTTCAGGAGCAAGTAATTTTAAGTATTTCAAATGCTTTGATTTTATACACACATATACACACCCCAATACTGGAAGAATCTGTGATTTCTCCTGCAATGAGGCAACTCCCTTCACGTACTGATAAGCCCTAGGGCCGTGACTCAAATATGCAGAGCTAAGGGAGCAGCTCTGGATTACACAGCGACTAAATTTAAGAATTAGGATTTGAACCCAGATCTGCCAGAAGTAAATTACAAGCTTGATTGCCAGAGGCGTACAAGTAAACACCTTGATGAATTTCCACTTCCCTGCGGTTCTCTCTGCACGTCTCCCTGGGATGTCTGCAATGAACCTACCTCGTTAGGACATCACACGTGCCCCGACACCCCAGGTACGGTGCCCCCTCCCCAGCCCCGGGCGTCACGCCTGCGTAGAAATCAGTTAGGAAAGAGGCCCCTGTACCGCGCCCGCGCCCGGGGCCTAGACCCGACCGCCTCAAGCCAAGCACGGGGGCTGGGCGGGGGCGTCCAGAGCGCAGACTTGGGCGCTAAGAAGCCGGCCCGCCTCTTTCCTGAGGTATCCCATGGTGCCCCGCGGCCCCAAAGGCCGCTCAGAGCCTCCCGCCTTTCAGACCGAAGCGACCCCGAACTCCTCTACCCAGTTCTCTTGAGAGCCCGGCCTTAGTTCATCCAATCAATTCCCAGCACCGCGTCCAATCAGAACCCTCCGGGGCTTTCCTTTCTATTTCTCCCCCTCCCCACCCCCAGCCAATGCTAGCACAGCACCCTCATGAGGCGGGGCCAATCGGCGGGCGGCTCCGGGCAACTTCTCTCCCGCCCCCCCCCACGCCAATCCGTGCGTCCTTCCCGGCCGCCAGCCCATCCAACCGGAGCTTCGCAGTCAGCGGGCGAATAGGCACGCGGCGGCCCTCCGGACCCAGCTTGTGGGCCAATCGGGAAGTCCGCGTGGCCTCAGCGGGGGCCAATCGGACAGGAGCGCGGTGCCGCCGCGACGAGTTCCGGCCCGGATATCCCTCCGCCTCTTCTCTCGCTCTCTCTCCCCGCCTGCGAACCGCCGTTCACTCACAGATTTCCTCCCACCCTCTCTTCCTTCTTTCTCCCTCCGCCACCCCAGCACCAGCCGCGCTCCCACTTGCCCCCGGGGTCCCTCCCCCGCTGCCGTCACTGCCACAGCCAGAGGAGCGGGAGCTCTCGATACAGCAGCACAGGAAGAAAAGGAAGAGGACGTGGAGAACAGAGACAGGCAGGCAGGAAAGCGGGCAGGGAAGCCGAAGCGACCAGTAGGAGGGAGCCGGTGAATGGGCTTGTGGTGACCCCCGCCCCCCCCACCCCAACCCTCCCTTCCCACCCGGCCCCTTAACCCCCCGTCCCCCATCACAGCCATCGCCGCTACCGCGGGAGTCTGAGAAGCCGGAGCCGCCCGAGGAGGAGCCTGAGCCCCCATCGCCGCCATGGAGCTGATCACCATCCTCGAAAAGACCGTGTCGCCCGGTACGAGACCGGTGTCGGGGCCGGGGCCGAGGCGGAGGCCGAGGCCGGAGATGGGGCTGGGGGATGGGATCGAGGTGATCAGACTGGGGGAGGGGAAGCCCCCTCTTCGCGGTTCTCTTGACCCCCTTCCTTTCCCCTCCCTACAGATCGGATTGAATTGGAAGCGGCGCAGAAGTTCCTGGAGCGGGCAGCTGTAGAGAACCTGGTGCGTTTTGCGCCTGGCCCCCTCCCATCCCCCCAGGCTGGGGCCTTCCCGCCCTCCTCGGGGCCCAGGCCTAGGGAACCCACCCCGCCCCATCTCGCCCCCCCTTCTCCCTCCCTTCCCCCCTTTCTCGGACCAACCTAACCCCGCCATCGGGAAGCCGGTGGGTGTGTCCCGCCCCAGGCCCCGGCAGCCGGCCAATAGCGAGGCGCGCCGGGCGAGGGCTGCCCAATCACCGCCCGGCCTGAGGGCGGCGGTGTAGCGGGAGGGAGGGGAAGTTAGGTTGCACGGCGCTGCGTGTTCAGTAAGGGTGGGGGTTGGGGCGCCGGGGCCTAGGGACCATGTGGAAGCCCTAGGAGCCCGGCCAATCGCCCCGCCTAAGGGCCTGCTTCTCTTTTGCCGTACCCGGTCTCATTCTCCGTCCACTTCATTGAGCTGGTCTTTTCCAGTCTCTGTCTCCCTAGTCTGGCCTGGTACCCCAAATCTCCTTCCACCTAAAGCCAGTATTTTACCCCCTCCTTGAGTGTGGGTCTTCTGCTGCCATCATGGAGCTGGATGGGCATAGAGTTTTAATCGGTCAGGGACTAGGCAGTGTGGCTCAGCGATGAGAAGATGAGGCCTATTTCCTGTTGCAGTTTCAGAGGAAGTATTTTGCTATTCTTATTTTTCAAATTTTAAGAATTAGCAAAAATTATGCAGTTCCCCATTTGATAGGGAGCTGTTTCTCTGGATAAAAATTTAGGGTGGATTGAATGAAACAGCCCATATGCCAGTCATGTTCCCCTTTTGGTGTTTTTCTGATAAAACTGAGATTGAGATGTCTGCAGTATAAAACCTCTTTTAAATGACTGAAGAACCATAAAATATTGTAAATATGTATTTTTATCACTTAACCTAGGCATTGGATAAACCTCATGCCAAAAGAAAAAAAGTATAGATGATATTCTTTTTTTAGCTGTTGTCTTTAAATGATTTAGCCTTGTGCTTTTAAAGGTCAGTGTTGGTTGACACTACAACTTTAGCTACAAATTCTGGTATTTTATTCCTTAGCTTGCCTGTGTGTGCCTTTCACGTTTTGCAGGCAAGACCTTTTACTGATATAGATGAATCGTACATGGGTTTTATTTTGGTGAAGAATTGTAAGAAATCTGTTTGACTTGTTACTTAATAATGTCCTACTGTTGAGAAGATTAGTTCTTGCATGTCTCCAATTTCAGAGACTGGCTGTGTTCATTTGTGGGTTAGCCTATGAACTTTGGGAGAAAGGTTGAGAGACTTTGGGGGAGGGTGTATTCTGTTTGTTAAATAAGATATATCTGCATTTATAAGTAGTTGTGGCTTGATGGAGTGTCTTGCAGATTTCTAGATTTCTGGCTTCAGTAGAGTGCTGAGCTCCGGAAAGGTTAGAGAATCAGAAGCAACTGACAAATATAAATTAGTAAATGACAAGTTTGTTGAAGTCTTGCCTTACAATTTTTCACTTCCTATTTTCAAAATTGAATCCTGTTTTCCTGTAGTTCTAGAAGTTTGGTTCTTGTTGCCAGCTTTCATATATTTTTCCTTGCACTCATCCTTCCCATCTTTAATTTTATTGCCCTTTAATGCTTCTGGTAGTTTCCCTTTACAGTGCCTTTGAGTAGGGTACAAAGAGGGTTCTTGAAGCATTATTTTACTTTGACTTTATAAGTTAATCACAGAATTTCAGAATTAGAAGGAACCTCAGTGGCTAGCTAGTCTTTTATTAATGTACTTGACAAGCGGTCACCTAGCCTTTGCTTTTGAAGACCTTCAGTGAGTGGGAACTCATTAGTTCCAAAGGCAGCCCATTCTTCATTTGTAGAATTTTACATTGTTAAGAAACTTTTCCTTATATCAAGCATACATTTGTTTCTTCTACTTGTTGCTCCTACCTCTTATCTTTTCCCTCCTGCAAAAATAAAGCTGACGTTGGAGGAAAGGCCAGGGGGCTGGGAATCCTGACTCTTCTAAACTAGCCATGTGACTGTGGGCAAATCACTTTGCTTATCAGATGTCTTGTATATAATGGGCATGATAGAGGATTTCCAAGGCCTGAGGAGTTCTAAAGATTCAGTGAGTCAAGAATCTAGTCTATTTTGGATGAACATTCCTAGACTGCAATTGTGGACTTATTCCCTTCCTGCATCTGTCCATAGAAGAAACCTATTGACTGACAGATTAACAAACTAGCTTTGAGTATGGACAGTTTAAATGTGGAGGTGAAGACAATTTACAAATGACATCAGCTCGGAGTGAAAACTATCCTGCTTTTATTTATCTGGGTTATGGGAGTTGGGGAGAAGAAGGACGGTGACTACAGGGTATCCCGAAAGTCTTAGTGCAGTTTAAAGCATGTTATTGGTATATGAGCACAACAAGTAAGTAGAGCTTTGAAGTTGCTATTTTACTGTTTTTTTAAGGATCTTTTGCTTGTTCCCTCATGAGCTGTTAACCAAGCTGGCCTTAATCTGGGAAATTCCCAGAGGCTGTTTCCATTTACAAATATTTTTCTTCTCTTAACCAGCCCACTTTCCTTGTGGAACTGTCCAGAGTGCTGGCAAATCCAGGGAATAGCCAGGTTGCCAGGGTTGCAGCTGGGCTACAGATCAAGAACTCTTTGACATCTAAAGATCCAGACATCAAGGCACAGTACCAACAGAGATGGCTTGCTATCGATGCCAATGCTCGAAGAGAAGTCAAGAACTACGTAAGTAACTGACATACAAAGTGTTTCTTTGGCCCATGTGGAAAAGGGAATAGTAAGCATTTTTCATAGATTCTCATTTAGCCTAGAGCTTACAAGGTGAGAGATTACTTAAAGCACAGGCTCCTTTCAAATCACAGTTGAGGTCTTTGTTTTTGGTTCAGAGTCCCACCCTTTGTTAAAGAGTTGTTCTTTCCTTTCTAATTGTCTGGTCCTAAAGCATAGTAGTTTTGCAGACTTATTGTTAAAAGTTGTTAGGTCTCACATTTAATGACTGAAGTTGGGAGACAAGCCTTGTCCAGTAATATTTAGGCTATGTCAGTAACAATCATTCCTAGATGATTTTGATGAACTCCTTCGGAGGAGGGGGACTGTGGTTGACCCCAAAAGGGCCTTTCAAATCCAATTTTGTGAACTGGGAATGTCAAACTTTCTTAGTGGATGTATTGACTCAGGGTGATGTGAATACTTTAGGAAAATAAAATTTCACATGTTAGAGCTTGTTCAGAATTTCCCAACTGGGCTTGAGAGCCACATGCCATGGACATCAGATTACTTTTTCATTTTTCTCCCTCTCTGGATAAGCAGCCAATCAAAGGCACTGCTGCTTTTATTTTCCACTGGACAAATTAGTGGTAACATTAATACATTTGGGGAAGGTTGGATTTGATATTGAAATAAAGGGTATTTCCCCTTGTGCTTAGTGTTCACTATTAAGTTGAAGCCATGGAACATTCTAGGTGATGCACATTTGAGGGAGGGGGACCCAAGGAGTATGTTATTCAAATCACTTCCTTAAAGTTCTCACCTGTTATTTCTTCGCATTGGGTCCCATCATAGGTAAGTCAGTATCACTCTGGTACATTCCTCTACTTTAATAAAATTCATTACACATAGGAATGGGAAGTGTAGTGGGGGGAGAAGATCCAAGGTTTTCTAAGTTTGCTATCGTCAGTCTTTGGAATACAAAAACAAGGTTTTCATCTCTGGCCCTGAATTCTTTTTAACCCCTTAACAATTTATTACTGGAAATCCTAAGGCATATAATGCTGTTTCCTCTCACCTTCTTATCCCCAAACAATTACAAAGTAAATAATAGATAAGAATTAGATTTTTAAATGTGAGGTAAGATTTGAGACATCACTTTTAGCATTCAGAATTTAGATGAGGATGACTTGGTACAGACGTTGTTTGATCCCCTTTTTGTATATCAGAAATCCAAATCTTTGGTTTATGCTCAATAACCTTGTTGTGTCTGTGAGCATTTTGTTAGAATCCAGACCTGTTTGTAGTTGACCATCAGAGGGCTTTGGTGAATGATGTAGGATATTAATGCATTTGTACATCTATAACCCCTGAAACCACATTAGGTAGTATTAATTAGTACTTCCTTTTGGTGGATTGCTTCTTTGAACTAACATATAATGGGTAGCAAAGCAGTGGACACAGTAGAGAGGATACTGAATTGAGAATCAAGACCTGAATTCTAGAACTGACTTTGGGCAAGTCATTTAATCTCTCTGCTTTAGTCTCCTCATTTGTAAAATTGTTTGGACTGGGTGATTGCTAAGATCCCTTCCATCTAAAAAATCCTATGATTCTAGGGATACTTTCTGTGAATTAGAAGCTAGTTGCCTCAATCAATCTGAGACATGTTACAGATCTTAGCTTGAAAAGGCCATGGTCTCCCACTGCATCCTGGGCTACCTCCAGTTGTCCTGAGCTGTATCTTGCTACTGGACCCAGATGGCTCTGGAGGAGAAAGCGAGGCTGGTGACTTTGCACAACCTTCCCTCACTTAAATGCAATTCACTTGCGTGTCATGGCATCACCTCCCTGATGTCATGGTCCTTTTTGAGAGTGAAGGACAGGCAACAGCAACAACAGTTTGTTATTGGTAGGCCATTGGTAGTATGTTTAAATTTTTTTTTTAATCACATAGATGGAGTTGAGGGTGATGGGAGAGAAAGAAAGGTTGAAAATACATAGAGAATACAGAGCAAGATAACCAGGTGACCTAGTCAGCAGAGCTATCCTGAAAAATCTGGCAACTTTCCACTTGTCCTCTGACCAGCATTAAGAACAGTTAACTGTTTGTCTTTTGGGTGGCCTGGTGATTTCATTGACAGAATTAGCTCTAATGGTAATGATTAACCCCCAGGCCCATTTGGTATTATTAGTTCCTACTTTGTCACTTTGTGTCTTCCTACACTCCTATGCTTTCTTCTTTTAATAAACTGTTGTAAAGTAACCATTTAAAGAAGTCCCATTTGACAGAATAATTCTGGACATTTGCAGTGAAGGAGAGTGTAATCTTAACCTTTTTGGGCAACCAGGAATAACACTTTCCTTGCAAACAAATTAAGGGATTAGTACTTACATTTTAAGGTTTAGGCTCTTTTTAGTAATTTATTCAAGAATAAGATCATAGATTTAAAGTTGGGAGAGATCTTAGAGATCTTCTAGTCATTTTATAGATGAGGAAACTGAGCTTCAGAGAGCAACTTCTCTGGTGTCACACATAGATAGTAAATGACAGCCAAGAGGTAAACTCAGTTCTCCTAAATCCAGTGCTCTTTATTACACTGCTTCCTAGGTTACTGGGTTATAAGTGAACAAACAAAAGAGAAAATAGTGATCTCCCCCTCCCCTCACAAATAACAAGTATTTCTCTTTACCTAGTGTTGATTCCCTTTCTGTCTAGACACTTGGCAGCTGATTTTCTTGCCTGCATCCTGCTATTTTACTTTCCCCAGATTTTGGAGTTAAGGGCATTGGGCAGACCATCCTCACACCACAGTCCTGGAACCTGGCAATGAGACCTACTACCACTGCTATTTTCACATATTTTCCTTGAGACTTTCTAATACCGCGTCCTTGTTCTTGTCCAACAGAGGCCCTTAGAATATTACCATCAGCATTTTCAGTTGAGGCTACGGGTCATTGCTATGGAACTGACTGAAGCAGATCCCTTGATGCTCTTTCCACTCAGACAAGACTACAAGATGAACCCTGCCTTCCTTTAGCCATTTGTGTTGCATGCCTCTCTTGTAGGTGGATAGTCAAAGGCATCACTCTGAGAGAGTCATAAGATAGTCTTACTAATTATCTCTCTTAAATGTCTGTAAAGGGATCTCAAAGTTGTTGTTTTTTTCTGTCCTTCCATCAAGGTTTTGCAGACTTTGGGTACGGAAACCTATCGGCCAAGCTCTGCTTCACAGTGTGTAGCTGGTATTGCCTGTGCAGAGATCCCAGTAAACCAATGGCCTGAACTAATTCCTCAGCTGGTAGCTAATGTCACAAACCCTAACAGCACAGAGCACATGAAAGAGTCAACATTGGAAGCAATTGGTTATATATGCCAAGACATTGTAAGTATTTACTTAAGTAGGCACCACTCCTCTTTTCCTTTTTGTTTCAGAGGCTGAATGATATTAAACGATGTTTGTAAAGGTAATGAGAAAAAAAACCTAAATGATTGGGGGGGTAATGGTGGGGATATAGTGGTCATACAGGCTGCTGTCAACTTAACTTATTTCTTTAAAGCTGCTTTAAGGAGAAGAGTTATCTCTCCTTTATCACAAGAGAGAGCTAAGCATCAAAAATAAAGGTGTTTAATGATAGATTCTAAACATTTGTAGTTATGTTGTCATTACATTGCCCAAGCACTGAGCTTAAAAGGTATTTAAGGATGAGAAATTTGGAATTCCATCTCTTGATAGACTTTGGTCCGTTACTCGTCTTTTTAATATTTTCTGTCTTGTTCCTCTCCCAGGTGCTTGGAGCATTCACATACCAAGTTTAATGTTTGTGTATTCTTAGAACATGGGTTTTTAGAACTTGTTTAAAAAAATTTTTAAAAATAACTATGTATGTTATTTATTTAAATTTTTTTAAATTTAAAAAAATTTTAAAAATTTTTTTAATTTTTTTTAAAAATATGCATTAAAAAATTCTGAGAAGGGGTCCAGTAGGTCTCTGGACTGCCACAAGAAGGTTACAAAAAAAGGTTGAGAATTCTTATTAGTCTTAAATTACACGTCTCTGCATGATTTTTGACAGTGACTGATTCTTTTTTTCCCCATACTCTTTTTTTCCATACACCTTCCTCCCCAAGACAGCATGTAATCTGGTCTAGGCTCTGCATATACATTCCTATCAAACATATTTTCACATTAGTCATGTTGTAAGGAAGAATTAGAACCAATAGGAGGAACCACCAGAAAGAGGAAACAAAACAGAAGAAAAAAAAATAGCAAATAGTATGCTTTGATCTGCATTCAAACTCCATAATTCTTTCTCTGGATATGGATAGCATTTTCCATCATGAGACTTTTGGAGATCCTTGCATTGCTGAGAAGGGCTAAGTCTATCAAAGTTAGTCATTGCACCATTTAGCTGTTACTGTGTACAAGGTTCTCCTGGTTTTTCTCTCTTCACTCAGCATCAGTCCATCAAGTCTTTACAGATTTTTCTGAAGTCTGCCTGCTCAATCATTTCTTATAGCACAATAGTATTCCATTACATTCATAGACCACAGCTTGTTCAGCCATTCCCCAGTTCATGGGCGTTCCCTCAATTTCCAGTTCTTTGCCATCACAAAAAGAGCTGCTAGAAATATTTTTGTACGTATGGTAGTGACTGATTCTTGATATTACTGGGTTTGATGTTTCCTTTACTGCAGAATCACAACAACCTTTATAATGACATTTTTCTGCGCTCTGTGCCTGAGTTACTAGATTCACACACAGGCATTTCTTAAGTGATCCTATTGAGGAACATTTAGAGCTGGGAGGGACTTGAGCATCAGAGGCTTTCTAGCCCAACTCCCTCATTTTATAGATAGGCAAACTGAGGTACCAGTTGTTGATGCTGATCTGATAGCATCTTTGTCTTGATACCCTGACCTGATAAAATGAAGAAGTCAGTAGGAGTTAACTGTTCCTTAAATTCTAGATGGTAAAACCAGGTGGTGATTTTCAGCCCTCTGGTATTTCATTTGTTACAGACGGCCTGGAAAGAACACTGAACTGCTGACCTCATTTACACTGGAATACTCATGTGACTATACCAGTAGGGGCTTAAGATGATCAAATTTTACTTCTGTGGTTTTTGCTGAAAACCGTAGTGATCTTGGAGGAGTATGCGTTGGTCTACAGTACTGTCCCCAATATTTAAATGGATCTGTACACTTAATTGATAAAGAGTTCTGTCCATTAAGTACAGGTTGCAATCCACAGTTATTCTCACATAGTAGTATTTTCACTCATTGTTTCTGCAGGCCTTCTCTAGAAATTTTTTTTCATTATTGTAATTATCCATTTCTCTTTTGCCATGTAGTCAGCTCTCCTCTATTTCTGTTCATGTTTCTTCAGTGATATCCTTTGTGGTCCATCCTAACACCTTAATCATTTGGACCCTCCACATGATTTCTTTTGAATGTGCCCACAACATTGATTTGAGACTGTGGAGGGGGAAGGAGGGAGATTAATTGGTATTTCAAGATTTGTAAGCATGCCATATATCTGGGAGAATATTTGTATCTGAAAGATGGGTTTTTATACCCATATCTAAATGAGAGATTATTAGGAAAATAGAAGGAAAGGGAACCTTAGGGAGATAGTCAGAGACTGAGGAAAGCTATTTTCTGATGCATCTCACAATGAATTGAATTCCATAACTACTTTACTATTGGATTTGTTACTAGCATAACTTGTTGGACTTTCCTTCTCATTTCAGGATCCAGAGCAGCTGCAGGATAAATCCAATGAGATCCTGACAGCCATAATCCAGGGGATGAGGAAAGAAGAACCTAGTAATAATGTGAAGCTAGCAGCTACCAATGCACTCCTGAACTCTTTGGAGTTCACCAAAGCAAATTTTGACAAAGAGGTAAGATTGTTTTGGCAGAGATGTGAACTGGGGACGAGGAAACAAAGGCCTATGTGATCCTCAATGCTCCATAATCAAAGAAAATGCGTCATGCTGGTTTCTTTGTGCATTGATTGCTGTCCTGGAGGAGATTTGAATTTGTCTTAATGTAAATCCAAAGATCACGGATTGGGTGTAGTATTTGCCACATCTCTGGTCCCTCCATCGGTTCCATCCAGATGAGGCTGCGCACAGCTGGAGATACCTTGGCCTAATAGAGGCCAAGTTCAGTCTTGAGTTTTTTTCTTAACACCCTCCTATAATTTCTCAAACCCTTTTTATGCAATAGAATTAAAGTTGAATCACCTTAGGAAACATTTTTACTAAAGCTACTTCAGAAAATATGGCAATCAAATCCATAATCATTTCTTTATTAGAAGTGAGTTTTTTGTCTTTCCTTGGTCTTTGAAGAGGCCTGGGAAATCTAAACAAACTGAATTTCTAATTAGTTAGAAAGGCAGGGAGACTTTTCTTTCGTATCTCAGAGGACACTACTAAAAAAGTATACTATACTGTTCTGTCTTGTGCCACTGCATCTACTTTGTCTGCCCTTGTTGGTCTTGTTCCTGCGTCCTGCCAGTTGCCATCTCTCAGGGTACAAATTTGTGTCTCTGGAGCACAGCACATTTTGATAGTATATTTTGATTTGATAATCACATTTTTAAACACAATCGTAGGGAAATTCAGAGTTGTGATAAAGTTCTCCCTCTTTAAAACCAAGTCTTTTTTCCAAACTCAGATGACCCACTTTTAAAAATTGTTCCTTTCTTTCATCACAGCCTGGCCTTCTTAGGTCTTGTTAATGATGGTCCATTCTTAAGATTAGATTAGCAAATTTATGTCATGTAGCAGGTACCAAGCTTAAATTCATTGTACACTTTCACAGCATACATATTCCAAAACTAGTGAATTGGTTTTTATGTTGGGTCATGTATCCATTGGAAGTGTAGAGAGGGCCTTCCCATGTTTGTTTCATGCTTTCCTTCATTTTCTTCATATTTTCTTCCTTGCAGTCTGAAAGGCACTTTATTATGCAAGTAGTCTGCGAAGCAACCCAGTGTCCAGATACAAGGGTAAGTATGGGATCAAATGGAATATCTCAGACTGTCTTTGTAGCATTTATAGGATCTGCTTGCTCTGGTTTAAGTTTCTGGTGTTGAATTAAGTGAATACAAGGTGATAGGGCTGATATTCTAAATGTTGATAGGAATTTTTTGCTTGAGGTCTGTAAAATTACTAAATTATAGTGCTTGTCCTTTAAAAACATTAAAGAGAATTATCTTCTGTCTGGATAATTGCTCTATGATTGTTTTGAATTTTAGCCCCTGCAAGATGTGTAGGTTTTCTGCTACTTTAATTTTTTCTCTTTTTAAAAAATAGTTTTCTTGATACACACCCTTCTATCCTCAAGTTGAACTTTACTTTGTAAAAAGGAAAAACTTATGGTACTTCTAATTTAAAATCCTGCCCTGGTGGTAGGGGCAGCCAATCCAGACCTATGTTTCACCATTGAATATGAATAGTAGCTTGGGTTTCATTGATGGGCCTCAGATAGGAGAAAAAAAGGCATGGGAGAGGAAGAGAGGAAAAAAAGGACATACATATGGTAGAGAGTGATGCTGTAATTATTAGCCCATACCTCAGTTGCATCATTGCCTCAGAATGTGAAGTTACCTACCTTTTATCACTTGGCTGTGAAGTATTAATAACTTTCTGTTCTCTTCCTTCCTAGGTTCGGGTAGCTGCGTTACAAAATTTGGTGAAGATAATGTCCCTCTATTATCAGTACATGGAAACATACATGGGTCCTGCTCTCTTTGCTGTAAGTATTCTTTGTTAGATGATTTTGAGCCTGAGAGATACAGTTTATAAAAGGCTTGTGCCTAGATCTGGTTGTGTTACTGGTCTGCTTAAACTCCTTTGCTTTGAATTCAAGGCAGCTGGCTGATGCAGTGACCTGGAGTCAAGAAGACCTGAGTTCAAATTAGGCCTCAGATACTTAATTCACTGTTGAATTAACCTGGGCAAGTCATCTCTACCTGCCTAAGTACTCAACTGTAATATGAGGATAATAATAACACCTACTGCCCAGAGTTGTTAAGAGGATCATGTGAGATAATATTTGTGAAAATGCGTAGGATAATGCCTGGCATATAGTAGGTGCTGTATAAATGTTTATTCCCTTAAACAATGAATTTGTAAGTAAATAGCCATGTAAATAAATTAGCCATTTAAAAAAACATTGCTGTCATTTCTAGAGACTTCCACCTTTTTCAGAACCCTCTTCTGTAATGAAGTACGCTGAAACAAATCACATTAACTGTCTTTGACAACATATGTCTCATTCTATATCTGTAATCTCTCAGATATATCTGATGTAGATATATCTGTCAGATAGTCCTTTCTGCCAAGAGGAAACAGGCATATTTCATGATTGGTCTTTGTGTTTATGAAAATCTGATATTTTTCAGTTTTTTGCTTTATGTTTTGGTGGTCATTGTAGTACCTTTTCTCTCAGATCCCTTTTTTTTTTAAAAATTTATTTTGATTTATCAACAATCACTTATAAGCTTTTGAGTTTTAAATTTCTCTCCCTCCCCAAGACAGTGAGCAGTCTGATATAGGCTATACATATACATTTCTATTAAACATATTTTCACATTAGTGATGTTGTAAGTTAAGAATTAGAACCAATAGGAGGAACCACCAGAAAGAGGAAAGAAAACACAACAGAAGAAAAAAATAGCAAATAGTATGCTTCAATCTGCATTCAAACTCCATAGTTCTTTGGATGTGGATAGCATTTTCCATCATGAGGCCTTTGGAGATATCTTAGATCATGGTATTGCTGGGAAGGGTGAAGTGTATCAATATTAAGTCATTGCACAACATGCAGATCCCAATTTTTAAAGCCCAACTAAAAAGTCACCTTTTCCATGAAGCTTTCTTTGATCCCTTAAGGCAGAATATGATTTCTAAAAAATATATTTGTGGTACCATGAAGTGATGGGTAGAGTGCTGGACATGGAGTCAGGAAGACCTAGATGTCCCACCACATTTAATAGCTGTGTGACCCTTGGCAAGTAATTTTATTTCTGTGTCTTATTTCCTCACCCATGAGATGAGAGGGTTGGACTGGATGGCCTTTACAACTGAAACTATGTCCTATTGTGACAGTTCTGTGTCACATCAGCCTCCCTTCTTCCAACTTTGTTTTATCTAATTTTGAATATTCTACACATGGTGTAGGTACTTTTGAAGTCAAGAAAATTCCTTGAGCCAGAGCTTTCCTTAAGTTTAGCTATAGTCATAATGGTGAAAGTTTTAAGTAATGCTTTTATGTACAACTTAATTGCTTAAGTTTATGTTTTTGTGGAGGGTAGGGAGAGAGAACTACTCAATGAAGAGCTAACTGAGATGGGGGCATTTCTTTCTTGAAGATCACAATTGAAGCAATGAAAAGTGACATCGATGAAGTAGCCCTTCAGGGGATAGAATTCTGGTCCAATGTGTGTGATGAGGAAATGGATTTGGCCATTGAAGCATCAGAGGTGAGCCAGGGTGTGGGTGGGAGAAATGGGGTTCTGACTGGGCAGATGATCAAGGAGATAGAACTGGGGAGGTTGGGAAGGCTGGCATAGACCAAATTCCCTTTTAGACTATTTTCCAATGAAGTACTGAAATCTTGAACACTAGGGGGCAGTAGGCCAGCACTGTTGCAAATCTAGGAGATATTGTTTGCTAGAAGAGAAAGGGGCTTGTTCTACTTCAACCTATTTGATCATAAATTTATTTCTAAAACCTCAGCTTCTCCAAGTGCTGCAGGCATTCCTTATATAAGCATGGAAACTATCAACTTTTCTTAAAAAACAGCCTATATAATAACTAAGAGGGAAGATAGGTGGCACAGTGGATAGAGTGCCAGGCCAAGAGTCGGGAGAACCTAAGTTCAAATCCGGCCTCAGACACTTATTAGATGTGTGACCCTGGGTAAGTCACTTAACTCTCTCCTCAGTGTCCTTATCTGTACAATGAACTGGAAACAGAAATGGCAACCTAAACCCCAGTTGGGGTAATGAAGAGTTGCATACGACAGAACAACAACAAAAGATGGTAACTAATGTGAATTGAGCCCATGTGAAAAGACATTATTTTTTACTATAGTTTCACTGAAAGATTGAAAATGAGATACTATAAAACAGAGATTCTTAGACTTTTTTCTGTCATGGACCCTTCTGGTAATCTGGTGAAGTCTATGGGCCATCTCCAGTTGTCCTGATCTGTATCTTGCTACTGGACTCAGATGGCTCTGGAGGAGAAAGTGAAGCTGGTGACTTTAGACAGCCCTGCTCACTTAAATCCAATTTATTTGCATGTCATGGCATCACCTCTCTGATGTCATGATCCTCTTCAAGAATGAAGGACCAGCAACATGGACCTCTCCTCAGAATAATGCTTTCAAATAAATGCATAAAAAATACATAGACTTTATATAGGAATGCAGTTATCAGGGTTTTTATAAGTTTATAGACCCCAGATTAAGCATTCTTGCTCTTAAGGGGAGAAATATTCCAGACTTCCCTTACCACTAGTTTGTTTTACACATATGACAATATAATGTAACTCACATTTAAATAGCGCTCTAAGATTTATATGGCACTTTCTCTTATAAGACTGTGAGAAAGTAGTATTCTCTGTTTTGTAGATGAAGACTTATTAAAGCTGACTTTGGATCTAGATTTTCTTATGTCTTGTCTAGATTTTTTTTACGCTACATATACTTCCACTATATATCATACTTCCTTTCCCTAGGCAGCATCTGCTGTATAGATTGAGTTGTTGATAATATATGTTCTTTGAGGAGTAGCCTCTTCTAGTGCTGTTGGGGTACCTTGGGGCTTATAGGCATTTTGGAACCTCCCAGTGCTTCCAAGAATGATTTAACTACTACCAGTAGGAGACAGGCTACAAAAGGGCCTGTTTGATAGTAATATGGTAAAAATATGCGAAATGCTCGCATCCCTGTTTTCCCCTATTTATCTCAAGATATAGACCATAGTTCTCTGTGTATACATTCTGTGTTACAAACCGATTTCTAAATGTTTCCCTAATTTGGATTTTTTGTTGCATCTTCCCTACAGGCAGCAGAACAGGGACGACCCCCAGAGCATACCAGCAAGTTTTATGCCAAGGGAGCACTACAGTATCTGGTCCCGATCCTCACACAGACACTAACAAAGCAGGTAAGTTTGCTCTAAAATTCAGACTGTGACATGAAGCCATATCAACAGTGCTTGGCTTGCTGCAAGTCCCATTCTGAAGGATGACATGGTTTTAATGCAAGAAGTTGGCATCTCTTCAAAAGCTTGATGTTCTTACAGATGACTCAGGAACAGCTGAGCTGGCTCTGGGAGATCCCTTAGGCTTTCTGAGTTGTTTTTGAAGGCAAATTGGGTCTGAATACTTCAAGTGGGGATGGGGCTTGGTCACCAGAGATGAGATGATGCACATTAATTATTGAGTCTTCCTAGGTGCCTTATCACTAGATTCTAGGAGCTTAGTGAGCAAAGTACAAGGACAGAGATTTACTTTGGTTACTTGTCTTACTGGAAGGACATAGTAATAACAGAGAAGTGTCTTAATATTCAAGGGATTTTGCTGCATTATCATTTTGATAGAACAGGCGTTATGTTTTTAAATGTTGGTAAAATCGGGGACTATAATTTCTTGGACTCCTAGTGTGAGTCTGCTTATATGAGTAATTGTTCTGCTACACCTTTGAGTTTGAAATGGAAAAAAGAATTTCACGTGCTTTTTTTTTTCTGAAACCTTAGACAGTGAGACTCCATGATGACACAGACCTAATTTTCTAAGTTTTTTTCTGTGAGAGGTTTCTGTTGATTAACCTTTTTTTCTTTTTTGGGCTGTTCTATGACATCTCATTTTTTGGGCCTTGTGATATAGAAAAATTCTTTAGCCTCATATGTCTTTGTTCTACCCAAAACACTGGTATTACCAAAGAAAATTGAACCCTGATAAGAGTGATGCTGGATATTCTGGTGCCACTGTAGAATTTCTCCCTGTGTGTAAGAAAATGTACCTAGAATCAGATATATATATGGAGATTAAATGGTGTGCTCAAGGTCACAGAGGTAGTAATTGTCAGAGATGGGATTTGAACTTAAGAACTGTGATTCCAGAGCCAGAACTTTTTGCTCTTTTAATGTTAAAATTCTCTAAAGAGGAATAGCAGTGCCATCTACTTTGTGATTTTAAAAAGCTTACTATTATGTAGGTATGTTATTAATTTTGCTGGCTTTTTTTCTCTTCGGTCTTGATTTCTCTTATGTCTGGTTTTGTTGGCCTTTTTCCTATTGAAGGACATTAAGCTCCTGGGTATATCCATCTGAAACTCTGCATAGGGAATAGATTTCATATCATAATATACAGATTGCATGGTCTTGCTAACTAGGGGACATATAGACAGAATTCCAACTGGTGGTGCTAGAAAGTTGGAATGGAGGTTTTTTTTGTGTACCAGGTTTAACTGGCCCAGGCCTAGGATTATAGAATGAAGTCATATAAATTAATTTCTTTAAAGTTTATTTGCCCCTAAGGCAAACCTAAATAGCCTTTCTGAGGTTGGGTCAAGGATGATTGAGAATAACCTTTTAAAACAGTATTTTGACTAGTGTAATATTTTGTAGGATGAAAATGATGATGATGATGACTGGAATCCCTGTAAAGCAGCAGGGGTTTGCCTCATGCTCCTGGCTACTTGCTGTGAAGATGACATTGTCCCTCATGTCTTACCCTTCATAAAAGAACATATTAAGAACCCTGATTGGCGATATCGGGATGCAGCTGTCATGGCTTTTGGCTGCATCTTGGAAGGACCAGAACCCAATCAGCTCAAACCACTAGTTATTCAGGTAGGACCAAGATAAATGTTTTGGAGTGTCATTCCTCTTTTAACTTGTTGCTAGAGACTTAGAAAAGAACTATTTTGAAGCAAGAAGTAATTTCCGCAAACTGTTTAGCTGAGAGCTGTCTGCAAAATCATAAAATATAGGCTTCTACTACAGGAGGGTTATTTTGGCACGTTACAGAACACTAGGTATGGAAAGGTGATAGAATTAAAAGAAGGTCTAAGCCCTACCCTACAGCTTAATTTCTGCCTTTTAGTCCTAGTTCTAGAGTACTATGGAGAAATCAGAAGTCTTAATTCCTTTTTTCACATGACCCTTCAGGTAGGGTCATGAAGATAAGATAAGCTGTTGTGTCTTTACCATCTACTTACCTCCAAGTCTTCTCTCGATTAAACAATAACTACTCCTTTAACCATCCTTTCACACTTTTTTTTTTTTTTAACAGCAGTTGGGGTTAAGTGACTTGACCAGGGTCACGCTGCTACCTTCCACACTTCTTAAGTGTGTTTCAGTTTGTTGATGTCCCCTCTAAAATGAGAAAGCCCAGAACTGGATATTAATAATTTAGGAGTGGTCTAACTGGGAGAAAATATAGTAGACTATCATATCCTTAGATACAGATGCAGTAATTTTTATTGGTGCTGCTTAAGTAAAGTCTTGTTCTTTTTTTAAAAGATTTTTATTGATCTTTTTTTAAATCAGTTATTTTCTGATTACTTTCACTAGTTAAATCTATCAGAACCAGGAGGGCCTCCGTTAGAGCTATGGAAAATATGTTAGCAGTTACCCAACATAGCATCCATGCTCAGGAATATGGGGCAGCCATCTGTATCTAGTCAGGTGGTAGCACCTGTCCTAAGAGGAAGGTGTCTTTTGGCATCTATTCTTGTTTTTGTTTTTTTGTTTGTTTGTTTGTTTGTTTGTTTGTTTGTTTTTTTTGAGTGAGGCAGTTGGGGTTAAGTGACTTGCCCAGAGTCTCACAGCTAGTAAGTGTAAAGTGTCTGAGGTCATATTTGAACTCAGGTCCTCCTGACTCCAAGGCCAGTGCTCTCTCCACTGGGCCACCTTGCTCTCCTGGCATCTGTTCTTTAGGGCCAAGATTAATAATTGTCATTGGGATATTTTTTGTTAATTTCATGGCAATTGTGTATTAGATTTATTTAGTTACTCCCTCAGTCATTGGGTACCCATTTTGTTTCCAGTGTTTCACTACTATAAAAATGCTGCTCTGAATATTGTAGTGTGTGTAGGGTCATTTTTTTTTTTAACTTCATGGGGCATGTACCCAGTAGAGGGATGGCTTTCTCAGAAATCATTTCTGTCCTCTGACATATTAATTTTATGTGTTCTATAATGGCATTTCCAAATTTAATTACCATGAATTTACCTGAGCCATGTTTTGGTTTAAAATGCCATTTTTAGCAGTAAATCCTTTTCTGGAATGGTTGAACAGGTTTTATAGCTCCTTCCTTGCCTGACAATGCCGTGTTGTATTTCAGGCAATGCCCACTCTCATAGAATTAATGAAAGATCCCAGTGTGGTGGTTCGAGACACAACTGCCTGGACTGTGGGCAGAATCTGTGAGCTGCTCCCTGAGGCTGCCATCAATGATGTCTACCTTGCTCCTCTACTGCAGTGTCTGATTGAGGGCCTGAGCGCAGAGCCCAGAGTGGCTTCCAACGTGTGCTGGGTGAGAGGTTGGCCTTACAGGGAGGAGGAGGAGGAGGAGGAAGGATAGAAGGGGGGGGCAAGCTCTAGATTGACTGGCTCATTGGCAAGAGAGCAGAAGTTGGGGAAGAAAGATGGATTTTTACAAGAATGCTTTTTTGTGAACACCTACATTCTCATTTCTTCAATTAACATGTGGGAGAAATGCCTCAGCTGATGGGAGCTGTTGACTCATGGTGAACCATTAAGAACAGTCATGCTACCTCAGCATGAGAACTATTTGGAGCCAGCATCTATTTTGAGTTTCTTGGGAACTCAAAATAATGACTGAGGGGTTTGATGAGTTGCTAGTTACAAAGCTTCTAAGGATAGAGGGAGCAAGAAGGAAGGTAGGTATGAGCATGGACTGTAGTTAGCCTTTTGTTTCCTGGGGGTAATTCTAGAATATAATTCATACAAGGAGGCCTAGCACTTTGGAGATAATAAGACCCATAAGAGTTTTTTCTGAATGGAAAGAAAAGCGATGACAACCACAGCCTTGATCTAGAGAGTTGTCTAAGTCTGGTACCACACACTGTTAGCCATATTGGAGCAACCACAGGGATGTTTCGTTTTGTTTTGTTTTTGAAATTTGAAAAAGTGGTACAATGACAGTGGCATTTGGGGTAGAAATTCAAAGAATTGTTCCCCAAGTCAGCTGAAAAGTGCTCCTAGTCGAGTTATCTTGAAAACGTGGGTTATGGCTGAGCTAGTTGCCCAGTGACTGGTCTAACACTAAGGCTTGAGGTGTCTTTGGGTTTCAGGCTTTCTCTAGTCTGGCTGAAGCTGCCTATGAAGCTGCAGATGTAGCTGATGATCAGGAAGAACCAGCTACCTATTGTTTATCTACTTCATTTGAACTCATAGTCCAGAAGCTCCTAGAGACCACAGACAGGTAACTGGCATTCTCTGCAGATGGTATTTTTGTATTTCAGCTCCTAGGGCTTTCTGTAGTAGAAGTGAACATGTTGAGCTTGAAGGAGAAAGCCATAGATATAATTCCTTGTACTGCAAGAGGGTTATCACTTATTAAATTTCATGAATCTCACTTTATTCATTCAGTAAATACATTTCTTAAGAGTGTAAATCAAATATCCACAAATTGAATTATCTTTTACAATGCATTAGGACCAATGTTGAATTTTTTTACTCCACTTATTTATGTAAAGCCTAGGGAATCAGTGTGAGGTATACATGAAGCTGCTCATTTAGCTGATGATCATTAAGAACCAATTGCTTACTGCTTCTCTTTGTTTTGAACTCTCCGTTACTGCTTTTTTAAAATATCTGGGAAATGCTACTACACAGTGACTTTTTTTTTTTTTTGGCTAGGCAATGGGATTAAGTGATTTGCCCAGGGTCACACAGCTAGTAAGTGTTATGTGTTTGAGGCTGGATTTGAACTCAGGTCCTCCTGAATCCAGGGCTGGTGCTCTATCCACTGCACCACCTAGCTGACCCCCACAGTGACTTCTAATACAAATCTAAATAGTCATCTTGAATCTCTTTCCTCTACCCCACTTCCACTTCCCAGAAGGGGAATAAATTTCTGACCAATTGGAATTGTGAAAATGCATTTTCTTACAGAAACAATGTTAAAAATGATATTACAAAAGTCATTTATAGTAGTGTTACAACTAAGCTTTCAGAGTACAACCTGTATATGGGGTGGAGATTCTTTTTTAATTTTTCCTTGATTTATAAAACTTGGGTTTTTCTATGATAGTTTGTCTCGGGCCAAGTTAGAAATGAACCCATTGAGTTATTTGAACTTAGTTAATTAGGGTTTGTTCAGTGCCAGAGGCAGTAGTGGGTGGGTATAAGATATTTAGAGTGGCAAGGATCTCAATGATCAGATAAATGATCCACCCTCTTCCTTCAGTCTTATTTGTTTCTGATGCCATTATGAATAGGGCAGGGGTGGTGGGGGTTTCCTTGCAAACTCTTCAGGGAGATGAATTGTAGAATTTTAGAATATCAGATATTGAAGTCCCTTGCATTATATGTAGTAGGGACTTTAATTTGAATGAATGAATGAATCTAGTCCAACAAAGCTACAGAGTGATGTGACACATAGGTCCCACAGCTAGATAGAAGTAGTCCAGGCACTAAGCCCAGGACTCTTTATGCCCAGGTCAGTGCCTTTTCCTCAGGTGCTTATCCTTAACTCATTATTTCTGTTAGAAGTTTAGCTCGTTTCCCAAAGGACCATTGGAAGGTTTGGCTCAGTCTAAAGGCCGTAATAAATAATGGTCTTTCTTAGGCAATTGGGGTTAAGTGACTTGCCCAGGGTCACACAGCTAGTAAGGATCAAGTGTTTAGTTTGAGGCCAGATTTGAATTCAGGTCTTCCTGACTTCAGGTCCGGTGCTCTATCCACTGCAACACCTAGCTGCCCCCTGTAAATATGGTCTTAAACTTAGTGAGCCTTAGAGGATTCAAATCCTGGCTTGCTTTTGGCCAAACCCAGGTTAGGTCTGTTTCTCCATTATTTTCTGGAATCATTTTCAGTAGAAAAATAGGTCACAGAAACTTCTGTCTCACCTCTCAAACCTTAACATTGCTTGTTCAAAGAAGTGCAGGGAGAGCCTCTGAATTTTGATAAGAACCAGGAGACTAATGCATTTTGTTTTTGACCAGACCTGATGGACACCAGAACAACCTGAGGAGTGCTGCGTATGAAGCCCTGATGGAAATAGTGAAAAACAGTGCCAAGGACTGTTACCCTGCAGTCCAGAAAACAACTTTGGTCATCATGGAGCGACTGCAGCAAGTGCTGCAGATGGAGGTGAGGCTTGGGGAACCAGTAGTGGGTGTAGTGGAGACGAGAATGCAGCAGGAAGAAGGCAAGACACCATGCTTTTATTAATTTTTTTGTTTCATCCATATTTATTAATTCCCAAAGGGTGTCTTCGTTGCAGAGCCACACTTTGAGAACTAGAGCTGGGGGTTCCTGGGAAGTTGGTAGATGGCACCAAAGTGATCTATAAGAAAGGGTCCTGAGTCGTCCCATGGTGACTTTCCTTTCTTTCTTTATCCAGTCTCACATCCAGAGCACATCAGACAGAATCCAATTCAATGACCTTCAGTCTTTGCTCTGTGCTACTCTTCAGGTATGGACTTGGCCTTTCTCACTTCAAACACATGGCCAGGGGGAAGGGGGGAGGAGGGAGGCAGGAAAGGAAAGAAAAATGAAAGCTCCTGTCTTGGGATGACAAGTTCACGTACCACACAGAGCAAAGCTGTGTTGATGAAGCTGTTCTGAAGACATTCATTGGAGGCAGGCAGTCCTCTTTCTGCCCTGTGACTGATTAGGAGGCTAAAATTCACCACAGCTAGATCACACACTGAAAGACATCTGCTTTTTTTGGTGCATTGTGCATTTGTGGGCAAGCCAAGCCCATCCACAGATATTTCCCAGTCACCTTTTTCTGTTGCTAAAAATTCTAGCTAGTATTTCAGTTATTATCTTTTGAAATAATCCTGGCTTTGTCATTCTGCTATAAAACTTGACAATCAGTAAATGAAACACCAGAGCCCAGTGTTAGCATGAGACTTCTTTTTCTGGGCCATTTATTCTCCAAAGTTCAGATCACCTGCTAGAAATCAAGAAACAACTAGAAAGCAAAATAATTTTCAAGGGCAAACTGTCGAGGTGCTATCTGACATCAAACAGACAAATCGGAAAGATTCAGAGATCCTCTGACATCTGTCATCTTTTGGAGAACATAGGAAAGATAGGGGCTAGGGAAAGCGGATAAAGAAGTCAAGCTCTGCTTCTATTAGTAATAGACTAATGGCGATTGGAAGAGATTGGAGTGGTAAGGATTTCATTGTCTTGGGTAGGAACTGAAATGTACCGCTTCACCTACAAAGCTGAAAAAAAAAACCCAGTCGTCCCATGAGAGGTTAGCAGTAAGGATTTACTACAGCTAGCTTTAATTTCAAAGGTAAATGAGATGCAGAGAGAACAGTTTTCCTTCCCAGGACAGATAAACCCTGTTTGTTCTGCAACACAGGAATAAAATGAAGGGTGTTTTAGTGAAGATGGTCTGCATTGACCAAACACTTAAACACAACATTGAAGGCTGAATTTTTAAAAAAAAAAAAATCCGAAGGGTTCATTTGAAGAGTTGAATATATTTTTCTAATTGGTCAAAAAATAACCTGAGGCCTTTTGTGTTACCAAGCTTGGGGCCAGTAAGCACTAAACTCTTATCCATTTCATAGAATGTTCTCCGAAAAGTGCAGCACCAGGACGCTTTGCAGATTTCTGATGTGGTCATGGCATCCTTGCTGAGGATGTTCCAGAGCACAGCTGGTTCTGGGGTGGTTCAAGAAGATGCCCTGATGGCCGTGAGCACATTGGTAGAAGGTCAGTGAGCAGACTGTGATCAGTGAATATGCATGCCTTGGAATAGATTTGAATTTTTTTTCTTTTGTTAAGAATGTTTGACTTACTTCCTTAACCTGTTTTTCCTGGTAGATATCTGAAGTCCAACTTTGCTTAAGTGTAAATTTAATTTAGTTTGCTTAAGTATAAATTTGAATGGCTGTGTAATTTTACAATTGTACTTCTGGGAGTCAATCAAGAAACTAATTTGAGATTAAGGTATCAGATAGCATTGGCAGCTTGCATCAGGTTAGCATAGTATTCTTAATAACCGGGTACTTTTTTCCTCGAAGTCTTCATGAAGGTTTGGCTCCTATCATCCTAAAATGTGCCTGTGGCAGTGGGCAGTCTTGGGTGTGGCAAAAAGATCTAGGGTGAAAGAAGGAAATATTCTTCTCCAGCTCTTACTGTTGTCAAGATTGTGTTGTAGAATTGAGGCGGCACATAGTAGTTGGCATGGAGCCAAACCTTGGAGTTAGTTCTAGAAATGAATTACTTTTCTGATTATTTTTTTGTCTGAACTCAAACACGAAAGATTAGTAAGACCTCCGTTAAAGGAACACGGAATAGTTTTGGGGGCAGCTTTTAGTGAGCCTACTGGGGATCTTCTATTTCTAAGGCCATTATCACCCTGAGGGACCATCCTCTGGAGGACCAAATCTATTTCTGGCATAAGAAAATAATACGCTGGAATATGCTGAGAACATTTGATAACCCTGAAAGAGAGAGAGAGTTTCATTTTGGATACTAAGGGTAGCTTTTTGGAAGGTGAAGGCCAGTGTTGCTCTTCTGGATATAGTTTGTTTCAAAACCTTGGGAGATTGCCTGAGGACCCTGTTCAGAAGCTGGTCTCTAGAGGGCCCTAGGTGAGGAGGTGGACAAGAGGCAGAATTGCTGGCTCAGCCAGTCCAAAAATTAACCATGACGTTTCCTGAGGGCCACGCCACTTTCTTGTCCAGTCCAGAGTAAGAAGCTCTACTATGGAGAACTGTCATCTTCAGGGCATTTGAACAGAATCCCAAAATTCCTCTCTGGCAGTTGGAGGAATTTAGCTTTTCCTCTTAAAACAGCTTGGTAATGTCTTTGTGTTTTAAGTTCTAACTAACTCATTTTAATTTGCAACAATCTGTATATTGTACTATAATACATTTTTAAAAACTTGACACCTCTCTATGCCTAAAGCTTTCTTCTTAGTACTGGTATAAGCTAACAGATTTTGTCTCTGTGCAGTGTTGGGTGGTGAATTCCTGAAATACATGGATGCCTTTAAACCCTTTTTGGGCATTGGTTTGAAGAATTATGCTGAGTACCAGGTGGGACATACCTCTTGATAGTAACATAATACATTGAACTTTTGTGTGCCTGGTAGAAGTTGGAAGGCACTAGGTACAAATTCTCACAGATTATCACTTCCTTCTCCCTATCCCCAAACTACAGTAGCAAAATAATTGGACTCAGTTATATTTTCAGGTTATTCCCTATATCTGTAATTGTTAATTGTTCTTCCACTAAGCCAAGATTAGTACTTCCTTGTCCTGGTGTGATGGCATCCCTAGAGGTATTGGACTTGTTATCTTCTCAGAACCACTTTTGTTCTTATAATGCTCCGTGGATTGAAGATTTCCTTTCTTGCTGACATTTTTCATCTTCCATCTCCCATAATCCCTGTATGTATGTCTTCCTACCACTCTAGTTTCAAAGACATGTATCTTTCTAAGGAGAATAATTTCTTGACTTTGGATTCTCAGAGCTTTTGATAATAAAACAACCAAGGGTGTTTTAGTTCTGTAAGCAGTCTCCTGTGCAGGTCCAGTTATTTTCATGTCTTACTTTGTAGGTTTGTTTGGCAGCTGTGGGCCTGGTGGGAGACTTGTGCCGAGCCCTACAGTCCAACATTTTACCTTTCTGTGATGAGGTGATGCAGCTGCTATTGGAGAACTTGGGAGTAAGTATTAACAGTCTATCAGTAAGCCTTATTAATTGCCTACTGTGTGTTAGGCACTGACGTAAATGAAGTAGGCCCTGCCTCAGGGAGCTTACAAGTGTGTGCAAAATATATACAAGCTAATTTGGGGAAAGGGCCCTGTCAAGAAAGTCCTTATTTACAGCATGGTGCTTGAGTTGACCTTTTAAGGAAGCTAGGAATTGTAGGATGCAGAGGTGAGGCAGGAACTCCATTCCAGGATTGGGGGTGGGGGTGGGGACTGGGCTGGGGATGGTACAGACAGCTGATTAAAAGTCATGCAGCCAAGCAATGGAATATTTTGTGGGAAGAATAAGATGACCAGTTTGGCTGGATCATAGAATGTGTGAAAGGGAGTAATGTGTACATAAACTTGGAGCGGGCAATTGGGGAGTAGGCTGTGAAAGGCTTTAAATGCTAAATGAAGGGATTTGTATTTGATTCCAGGGCTAATATGGAACCTTTGGAAGGGAATGATGTAGTCACTTTGGAGGATGGATTGGAGAGGAGAGAATGAAGTTGTGGGGGTAGAATGACAAAATTTGTCAACTGATTAGATCGTTGAGGGAAAGTGAGGAATTGAGGATGACTAAGGTTTTGAACTGAGTGACTAGAAGGATGGTGGTGCCTTTGACAGTATTTTAGAAGCAACAAGTCTCCAAAAATCATTGGCTGCAATGGGGGCATGTAAAAAGGCTACGAATATAAAATTTCACAAACAGACCCACTAAACTTAGTCTAGGTATTGAAAATTGGCATAAGTTATAAGCTGCAGTTCTTAAGAAAAGGAGTTCTTGAGAATGCAAAGAACAACTTAGATAAATTGAAACCTTTTCTCAGTTTCTCAGATTTATAAATTCTGACTTTTACTAATTTTTTTCTTTCTGCATCAGAATGAAAATGTCCACAGGTCTGTCAAGCCACAGATTCTGTCAGTATTTGGTGACATTGCCCTTGCGATTGGAGGAGAGTTTAAGAAGTACCTTGAGGTGGTATTGAATACTCTCCAGCAGGCCTCCCAAGCCCAGGTTGACAAGGTAATCAGTCATAGGCCAGTTGTGTCTCCAAGCCAGGGGTGGGGAGAGGGTGCTTTGGATGTGTCAGAAGAGGTGACCTGCCTGGGAATGTCTGTTGTTTGTCTCCTGTAGTCGGACTACGACATGGTGGATTATCTGAATGAGCTAAGGGAAGGGTGCTTGGAAGCCTACACCGGAATCATCCAGGGATTAAAGGGAGACCAGGAGAATGTGCACCGTTGAGTATACATGATCACTTCCTTGGTTTGCTGGCCAGTGTCTGCAGTTGGGGCAAAAAGGATCTGCTTAGAATTTTCATTTTGGAGCTTTCCTTGTGCGATGTCCGTATCCTAATGAAAAGGAAAGCTTTAGGGGAAGAAGGGAAGGGGAACTTTGTTTTTTTCATTCCTCTCCTTCCTGTGTCTGCCTCTCACCTTTTGTCTCAGAATGAGTTGTCATCGCGGACATCATTGTGTCCAAAGACAACTGTAGAACAATTTGATGTAGGAAATGCTCTGATTCTGGCAGGAGTCAAGCTTTGCTTCAGTCGTGAAGGGAAGGGTAGCAGTTAAGCCCCAACATAATGGGCTGTGAAGAAGGGGAACCTCACTGGCCAGGATATGCTCTTGTTTCTGGTGTCTGGGACAACCCCTGTGACCCAACAGGAAGAGTTTTGTACTGGGCTGCTTTTTTATTGAACATCACCTAAAAAGCAGTCCTGGCTTTGAGCTGTAAGAGATTTGTATTGTTTTTTTTGGGCATTCTCCTGTTAGAAGAGGAATATCTGAGATACACAAATCCTCTTGTCTTGGGAAATGCACATTGTAGCATATCTCAGTATGTTAGTTTATCCTATCAAGCCTTGGTTGGCAACTAGCCTCCTTCCACTTTCCTGCTTGGAGGGTTATAATACCCTTAGAAGTGTGGAAAGGAACATTGGGCTTGTCCTAAATGAGAAAAAAATCTAGCAAAACTTTTTTCCCCCTCCAATAGCGGATGTGATGCTGGTGCAGCCCCGAGTAGAATTTATTCTTTCCTTCATTGATCACATTGCTGGAGATGAGGATCACACAGATGTAGTCGTAGCTTGTGCTGCTGGACTGATAGGGTAAGTTTTGCCTTTTGGCTTTAATAATTAAGTCGTATTTTTTAGAGCTTCTCATAGAAGCTGGCCAGAAGGTAAGTATTTGCGGAGGGTTTATGTTGTAGAACCTAGGATGGTGTAGGGTTATGGGTTATTTCTGTATATCTTATTAGAATTAATTCAAGGGTTGTGGTTTTATGAGAGTACAAAAATGTTTAGACCTTATTTCTCCACCACTAAATCTCATTAAGTGAAATCTTCAAGGGAAGACCAGATTAATGGGTCTGGTATCAAGTCCTAGTTCTCCCCTCATATAGAGACACAGCCAGCATGAATTGAGGAGCTCCATGTTTGGTTTCTTAAAGGAAATAATGCAACCTAGTTCTTGTTTTCTCTTTTGTGTTCGTTCTGCTTAGAGACTTATGTACAGCTTTTGGGAAGGATGTACTGAAATTAGTAGAGGCCAGACCCCTGATCCATGAACTGTTAACTGAAGGCCGGAGATCCAAGACGAACAAAACAAAAACCCTTGCTACCTGGGCAACAAAAGAGCTGAGGAAACTGAAGAACCAGGCTTGGTAAGATCACCGTTTACTCTGCACCGTGGCCCCAAGTAGGTACTTCTTGACTTTGGTGGCAAGAGCTGTGTTTTAAAATGATGGCTTTCCTTTTGGTTTTTGGGCATTTCCCTACCTGTGTTTTTAGCCTTGAACAGCTGTAAAACTAGCTAAATCGTGATTATGGACAGGATACAGCTTAGACAAATGGAGAATTATCTAGAATTCAAACTTCATTCAGGGTCAGATATAGGCTGACATGATGCTGCCCACTGGGGGCTCTCTGAAGCCATTGTTTATGGTCTTCTTCCATTCCAAAATAGTCTAGTCTCTCTGAATGTCACTCAACTTTAAAAAGATGGTTTTTTAAAGAGTTTTGTCTTTTATACCACAACCACTTTCCAGGACTTCCGTCTCCCTCCCCCACCTCCTCAGTAGTACTAACCTACCCAAAACAACAACAAAAAGCTTAAAAAGACTCTCTGATTTAACAGTTGATTGTGTTGACAACATTGTTCGCTTATATAGACCCTGCTCCCTTTTTGATGCCCCTGGGACTTTATTATTAGCATTGATATTGGAACTTGGAGCTGGGGAAATTGGCTACTCCTACCTACTTTGAATAGTAATTTAAATCTCTTCAAACCACTCAAGAATTATTCACCAATACTTTTCACCCTCAGCAAAATTAGCTAGTTTGATGTGAGTTTTATCTTTTTATTTTCCCCATCTGTACTTTAGTGTAATTTTTAACGAATTGGGCAAAAGGGTAGAATAGGCAGAAGTGAAAGAGAGAACTAGCTGCCAAGTAATAGTTATTAGTCTAGCTTATAGCAACGCCAAGTTAAAAGAATATTGTGAGATTGGAGAGGACTGAATTTCTGCTAATTGAATATCGTGAGCGTGCTGCGTTTAGTTTAGGAGAAGGCTGTGTGTGTTGATTCTTTTCCTGTATTTTCAGATCTGTTACCATTGGGATGACACCCGAGACCCCCACTGGAAATCTCCAATCTTTTGAAAAACCCGGAAGTGAGGAGTGTGCACGGATGCTGAATGTTTGGGAATGAGAGGATGAGTGAGTGAGGCTTGAAAACACACCACATTGAAAATCCTGCCACGGCAGCAGCAGCAGCCAACAGCAGCGCTGTTAGTGAGCTAAGCACTGACTTCCGTAGAAAACCATAACATCGGCCATCTTGGAAAAGAGAAAAATGACGGGATTTATGTGCTTTAAAAAAGAGAGCGAGAGAGAGAGCTATCTCTTCCCAAGAGAGGCTAGAACTAGCTTTTCTGTCTTTCGGCCAGTGCTGAGCGGAATGACTAGTGTGGGAGAAAAGGGACTGGGTTCAGCTGTGGTGCTTTGTTGTTAAAGGCCTGGCCTTTGCTACTGATGAGAGAGATGGAGCCTGGGTCTCGAGCCCACCTTCGGTGTACCTTTGCCACACGGTACTGTACGCGTGCGGGCTAAAAGGAGGGTGAGGGATTTTTTCAGTCTAAGAGTGAGTGTGTGTGAATGAGGCGGTATCCACATTCTCAACTTCAAGTCATTGCAGTTTATCTTTTTCCCAGAAAAAAAAAAAAGGGGTTAGACGTTACATTTCATAAAACTAACCGAAGTTCTGTCTACTGATGCAGCACAAGAGATGTAAAAAGAAAAAAAAAGAGGAAAGCCGCTCTTTAGGGTCTTTTTTTATTTTTAATTTTTAGGGAAAACACTGACACGTTCAGTTCCCATCCCAAGTGACGCTTTTCATGATCTCCTTTCATCAAGGCGCCTTTCCTAATATGGTTCAACTGTGAATGTAGAAGGGGGGGAGTGGGGGGAGGGGAGGGGGAAAGACAACTCTGGTTTAGAGGATATAGGAAAAATGAGATTGTCAAAAACATACTTTAAAGACAACCCACAACCCAAACCAAAATTTAAATGCTCAGAATTGGCAGCACAAAGGGAAAGCTCTCTCCTGACTTGTACTGTGACAGTCTGAACGCCCCAAAAATTGTGCCAAAGAGTAAAAAAGGAAAAAAAACAATAAAAATATAAACACAAGAAAAAAACCCATAACAAACTTCAGGTAACTATTTTGGATTGCAAAATGAGGATAAATTTAATGTTCAAACAAAATCTGATAAAATAACCATTTGGAAACTGCTTGGCCTTCTGTTCTTTATTTGATTGACTCCAATGTGGTAATGGTCTCTTGCTGCACTTCAGAAACCAATCGACAAAACAAAAAAGGAAAAAAAGAATTTATATAAATATATATATTATATATAGACATACTGACAAGCTCTCATGATGAAAATGGCACTTGTAAAAGGTTATATTTTTCCACTGCAGTTGAAGATTAATAAAAGTGTCAAACATTCCCTAAAATTTACTTTTTGTATATTTGGTCTTTTCCAATTGAAAGAGATCCCATTCACTGAGCTTTTTAATTTAAAAATGTAAATCAACAACAACAAAAAAAGATTCAGAAGCCCAATGGACAGTTAATCTGACCAATTGGGGATGTTGCTGCTTCCCTAATTAGCCAGTTGGAATTTTCTTTAAAGGTGTGATGCATCATACCATCTTCATAAATCAAGACTATTTTTTAGTCGGGAAAGGAGCAACCCTGATTTTCCATTTTGGCATCAGCAATTAGAAGGCATATAGGGAGCTTGATTCCCTTTATTTGTTAAACAGTTGTGGTATTTTACCAGCATCTTTAATGTGCTGCTTTGAAATAATGAAAGATGGTCTTTGGGTTTGGGAGGTGAAAACAGGATTCCTCTTCCCTTCTATACCTTCATCCCTACAGCTTACAAGAAAGGGGTCTTAGTTTCTGTTCTTTTCCCTTGACGTCCCTTATTCCACCAGCCTAATTTTTTTCATCCATGAGAGGGATTGGCTAAATTTTGCCCATCTGCACTGCAGCATTTCTAATAGCTCTTGTACAGGGTATCGGATATTGTGCCTTTTTGGTGCCAGGTTCAGAGTCAAAAGTGCCGATCTATGAACCAGTGTGCAAAACAAAACAAATCCAGGTGTTTGAAGGAGAGAAGCTCCATATGTGAAAAGAGCTTACAATCTCCTGAACCCTGATTAGAAAGAGTCCTGGCTCTTAAATGCCTTTTTTTTTTTTTTTTTTTTTTGGTTTAAATTAGAGGGGGTGATGTTACAAACCATTCCTGAAAATTAGGGGAGGGTGGGATAGGGCTTAGGATGTTGGGGGAGCAGGGGGAATGGGAAGAGAAATCTGATCATTCCTCAGTGCTACCCATTTCTGTCCCCTGTGTGGGCTGCTCAGCTGTAGACAGCAGGAGAATAAAGTACACTGAGAACCATAGTGAAAACAAAACCTTCCGTGTGTTTGTCATGTTTTGTTCCAAGGAAGCAGTTCTGAAAGCTGCTGTTAAAGCTCTCCCAGACCCATTCAGTTATGGAGAGAGGAGGGAGGGGTGGATGGGAGGCTTGGTTGGGAAATCTCAAATTCATTGGGTTTTGGTTTTAGTCTTGGCACCTGTAGGTTTATGTATTGAATCCTGCCCTCTGCCCTTGGTGAATTTTCCACATTATCCTTTGGAATCTTTTTAATTATGCTGTCTTGGGAAAAGGATGCAAAATACATTTTTAGCAGAGCATCCTGTCCATTTGCTGCCTGGGCCTCCCCATGGCCAAATCTTGGCATGAGAGTGTAGTTACTGCCTATTTGGAAAGACAGTATTGCATAAGACCTAAGAAAGCAGTTATGGGACTGGTCTTTGGTTACCTTTGTGGGGCAAGCTGCATCATACCCTGTATCAGTTATTTCTGTCACTTGGCTCTTCATCTATTATCCCAAGTAATTGACCATTGTGATGGCTGTCAAAGGCAATTATGTTGCCCTAGGAACCAAATTTTTTTGTGTGTGTGGGGCTAGGGGGGTTGGGGGGAGGGGACCTGTGTCAGTGTACTCTTTGGAAGTGTCCATTTTATGCAGCTCTTAGCATTTTAACTTCGAACCAAGCAACTGTCTTAACTTTTGTCACTCTGTCACATGAGTGTTAGTCCAGCATAAAGAGGGGCCCAAAGTCCAGGCATTCTGAGCTTCTGATTGCATCTTGGCTTTGGATCCAGCTTCTGTAATCTCACTGGGGGTGCCTACCCCTGGTGTGCCATTCCCTACAATGGCATTAGTGATGTGTTATAATTGAGCCCTACTTTACTAACCAAAACTGGTACCATCATCTTTATCTTCGAAATAAAGTCCGCTTTATTTTTATTTTCAATGCTTTTGCTGCTTCATTTTTGTCTCGTTATTCCTGACACTGGCATTATTTCCTTTGGGATAAAATAGGATAGGAAATTTGTGCTTCACCTTGGGGTTTGTGAATATTTTGAAAACTATATTTCAGTATAATTGGTTTCTTTTGTAATACTATGTTTTGTGCATTTAAAAAAATCAGGAAAAGTCCATAGGCCTCAGGTAGATAAACCTCTATGATAGGAAAAAATGTTAAAACCCCTGATCTAGGAAAAGCTGAAAGTGTAAAAAGTAGGAATTATGTTTATGTGGCTTTTAAGTAATAGATTATTTCTGAATGGTGTAAGCAAAAATAAGCTAATGGTTTACATTGAGAGTCAAACTGTAGCTAGTCAGATGATTGCCTGTTATTGGCATTAAAATGGGTAGCATGTGGCTTTTGTGTTTTGTAGCAAATCCTGGCAGGGACCCCACCCATGCCCTTTACTGGTAATATTGGCAGCCAGTCTGGAGATGCTAACAACCAGCCTCTTCTTGCCTCTGGACCTTAGAAAGAATCCATTCTGTTTTGGAGAGATGATGCTGATGCTTCACTGCGTCGATGCAGAAATGATTTCCTACCCAGTGCAACAAGTTTGTTTCAGAAGAAGCTAAAGGGTAACCTGGTCAGTACTGGTGGCTTTTGACTAGTTCAGTGAATTTCAATAATACTTAGGTTTAGTGGGCATCTCTGCCATAGTGGAGAGGCCTAAGACTGGCTGGGAGACCTGGGTTCTGGTCCCAACTCAAATGGTGTTGAATGTTGAGCAAGTCAAGTTTCCCTTTAGTTTCTCCTTCCTATTCTGACTTCCTATAAAGCCATTACCTTTTCTTATTTGGGGATTGGAATGGTGACCTGAATTCTGTAATGTTATATAAGAAACAGAGAGCAGACTTAGCGATGCTTTAGTCTTCTGATGGGGGTTCTCCCCCCCCAACACTTCCTAGCTATGTGACTCTGGGCAAGTCACTTATCCTGTTTGCCTCAGTTTCCTCATCTGTAAAATGGTGGTAAGAATAGTATCTACCTCCCACCATTACTGTGAGAATCAGATGACTGTAAAGGGCTTAGCACAGTGCGTGGTTCATAATAAACATTATAAATATTATTTCTAGCCCTATATCCTGATGACTTCTAAATCAAAACCAAATTTGAAACTTAAGTTGGAAAAAGGTGAGAATCTCTCAGTCTTTGCTTAGTTCCTGTTCTTTGTGTCTGCCACAGATGGACTCATTTTAGTCTACACCCTGTGTTAGCTAACATTTAGAACTTGCCTGTTAATAGATGCAGGTGGAATTACACATTGCAAAAAATGACCCCCTGCTGAGAGGAGCACCAATAAAGTTAACATTGACAGAACAAGTTTCAGACAGGCAAGCAGGCCCATAGGGATGGCTCTGTTTATGTGCACTGACTGACCTTCCTAATGCCATTAGGATACAACTACCAGTTTGGTTATGTTAAAAACAGATCTGACAATGTAACCACTTATTCAAAAACTCTCAATATCTCCCAATTGCTTCTAGTTTAAAAAAACATACGAACTCCTCAACTCTGCCATTTAAAAGCCTTCTACAACCTGACTTCCTTCTACCTCTCCAGTCTTAATTCATGTTTTCTTTAAGGAATTCTCTGTCCAGCTAAGGTCTGTCAGTTCTGCCTTCCTCAGCATTTGGTCTCTTGCACAAGTGATCCCTTATATTTGAATTGCATTCCAACCTAACTATAATTCCCTTCCTGCCTCTGCTGTAACCCAGCTCTTACATCACTGACAGCCCTGATTTCCCCACCCCTGGTTTTTAGCATTCTCCCTCTTGGAACTACTTTGTGTATACTTCCTATTTACTTGTCAAAGTCAACTAGTATTTTCATAAGCGTCTACTGTATGCCAGGTACTGTGCTGAGTTCTGGAGAGTCAAAAAAAGGCAACCCCCACCACCAACAAACAAAAAAACCAGTCCCTTCTGTCTAATGACGGAGATAATAGAGACAACTATGTCCAAACAGGTTAAGTTGCAGATAATCTCAGATATAATTTGTGTTGGGAATCCTTTAGATTGTAGCCTTTTTTGTTTGTTTGTTTGTTTTGGTCCTTTTCTTCTCCAGCACCTAGCATGGTATCTTACACATAGTAGGTTCTTTTAAAAAGTCCATTTATATTCTATTTCCCACTGTTGTCCTCGCCCTTCTGCTCTTTCCCTCTTAGAGGGCTTTCCTTTGTAACAATGAAAAAAAACCACGTTAGCCAAACTAAACAAACACATGGAAAAAGTCTAGACTTCTGTAGAATTCCATACCTGTAGTCCCCCATCTCTGCAAGGAACAAGGGAGGTGCCTTCTCATGCCAGGCT